AAAATAAAATGTATTTATAATAATTTAAGAATGAAATATTATTTTTTGAATATATTTTAATTTAATATATTTTTTTCTAATTAAAAAAAAATTCATGTTTAATAATTTAAATTTTTTAAATGCATTTTTATAGAAGCAAATGAGACAAATTTGCTTAAAATAATTAAAGTAAATTAGTAATTATTAAAATATAATTATAAAGTATCTTTATGCTGATATCAATTATTAGAATTATTTAATAAACATTTTATATCAATCGCATTCTATAATAAACATTTTATGTTAAAAGTCTGTCAGTCACGCTCTATGAATGACTCCCTTTTAAGTTATAGTTTTTAATTATGTTTTATATTTAATATAAATTATATTAAAGTAGTTGTTTTTCTTTTTTTTTAAAGTAACATTAGTTAATGATGAAAATCCGTCTGCATCAGATAAATCTTTCTTCGTCTAGGATATCTCTACGACAGCCTGATGCCATATAATGATAAGAAATATTGATAGAAAAATGATTCCAGCGATGAAATGATCATAATATGTTGCATGGTGTGCTCCTTATCAAATTTTCAAAACATATAAACAATTAAGTGCGCGTGTTTACGATAAAAATAGGAAAACGTGATAAATAAATACCTAATAATTCATGGTAATACATAGTTTTATTGAATTATTAATGTGACAGAAATGGGAAAAAATATATTATCCAAGCAGTAAAGATTAATAAAAAATTTATCATGATTTTATTATCATAAATGGTTTTATAACCAAAAAAAAGGGGGGAAAAATGTTATTTATTTTGTAAAAAAATGCATTTAATGTTATAAACATTACCAAAAATTCCCTTTATCTTATATAAANTATAAAAATTCTTAGACCTGTAATTTGAGAAATTTCGTTTGTCCATCAGTCACGCTCTATAAGGAGCTAGCTACTGTAACATATTACTGTAATATCTTTTTAATGCAAGAATAAGTTAAGAAGAAGTGAAAATACATTTGTTTATTAAATAAAATAGTTTAAATTAAGATATAGATAAATATTTTTCTTAATTTTAGATGCTATAAAATCTATTCTTCAGAGTTTCTCGTAAATGACAATCGAGAACTCGAACCCGGAATCTGAAGCATAAATTCTTGAATAAAATGCTACAATGACGAGTTTTTACGCAGTTTAAAGCTTTCAAAATTTATAATTACGTTTAATTTAAATGTTATTAATCTCTAATTTTAGAGGCTCTCTTTTGTCTGTCAGTCACGATCTATGAGTCTGAGCCTCTTTATTGTAAATTATTATTATATTCTACATATAATAGGCTAATATATTTTGGACTAAAATATTTATTTTTANATATATATATAATACTTTTATTAAAAAAGAGCGCTTTTTATACCATAAAAAAATCAAGTTGTAGCTAAATAATGATGCTTAATCCTCAATTTGTTTTCGTTTTACTCCAGTGAGATCGCTTGAATGGGTTGATATTTTTAATACAGATCGCATCTTTGATATGCACAACCTTTATATACAGTAATATATTTAATTAGTCTATGAAGAAGGACGACTTATCCGAAACCATAATTATGCTCATGGCTTATCTAAAACGTTCTCTCAAACATAAACTAAAGGAGTCTTTAATTTAAGATAAGTTTATTGACTCCAAGAGTAAAGAAAAAGAGAGGATAATTTTTCTTACTTTGGTAAAAATAGATAAAAATTTACAAAGAGCTTGACTGATTATCTTGTTTCAACTTGGGTTACTTAAGAGTGTTTATAAATAGAGAAAACATATATAAAAGCTAAAAAAAAATTAATTTATTTTATATAATTTAACATTTTTATACTAATTTTTCTGATAAAAATGCATTTTAGATGGAATAAAATATAATTAATTTTGTTTTCTTTGAGATTTATAAATAAAAAATGTACTTCAAATCATTGAATTAATTATTTTTTTTTTCAATTATTTGCTCTCAATTTTTTACTTTATATTTCAATTTATAACTACAAAACTATGTTTTAAATTAGTACAAAATTTAATTAATTTTGCATTTTTATTTTCTATATATAGATATGCCCTAAATTAATAATTAGTTAATTATTTCGAATTTTATTCCTTTAAATTATTTTGTACCTAAAATTCCCATTTTGCCAGAAAAATGTGTTTTAAGTTGGCATAAAATAGCTTTAATTTAGATTAAAAAATTTTTTTTCTATATAAATCTATTCGAAATCACTTTATAAATTCATTTTTCAATTATTGTAAAGTATATTTGGTTTTAAATTATTTATTTTTCATTTAAAATTCCCATTCTTTTGCGACAAAAATGTGTTTCAAATTGGCACAAAATATAAGTTATTTTACTTTTTTATTATAGTTTTTTGTAGAAATATTTTTGAAATTAATTTCTGGTCTTCTATAAAATATTTATACACTTAAATTACTTATTTTTCACTTAAAATCCCCATTTTTTACGTTAGAAATGCACATATTAGATCGCTACAATTTTTTAAAATTATAATTTCTATACAGAAACACTCTTAAAATAATTTAATAAATTTATTTTTAAATTCTCATAAATTTTTATATATTTTAATGATATATTTTTCCGTTTTTTAAAAGTACAGTATTATATAATTCTTAGTGGTATAAAATGGCGACCAGAAGCGAAAGTTTAATTCACTGTTTATCTTATTTATTGTCGGTAAGAGAATGACGTAACAAATGATATTGTATAAAAACTCAAAATGGCGGTTTTATATATTAATAATTTAAACGTGTGCATTAGCATAAACAATTTGTCAATCAACGTTATAATAGAGTGCACATGTACTCGGCGCGACGCGATCACAACGCCACAGTGTCGCTCACCGAAGTTTACATCCTGTTAAAGTTCACTCATGTCTTAACCTTATTCTTCAACTACCATTTTAGGTAATAAGCCGAATAAAAAAATAACGAATAAGAAATAAAAATAATTAATATTAAATAAAAAATTAAATCAAATTAATAATTTACGTCGTAAAAGAAATAAAAATGTAATTTAAGAAAGAAATAATATAAACTCGATTACATTTAATTTTATTAAAATAATAATTATTGTTAAATTTTATATTATAATAAATTTAATAATTATATTAATATAAAATTTTAAAAATAAAGTAATAATAATAAAAATATAATTTCATATTAGTTAAATTGACGTTGATAATGTTTATAATCTCGTACATTAGCGTTTACGACGAGAGCGAGGCGTGAATAACGCAAGAGTAATTTTGAGATATGATTTCAGTTTAAAGTTTAGTTCTTACTGTTTATACGTAGGACTTTATAGGATTATAAAAAGATTATATTTGTTGATTAAGAGGTAAGGATCTTATTATAAATGTTTATTTTTAGTGTTAAAGCATTTAAAACGTTTGTCAACATAATAATCTAATTGTCACTTAAGCCTATCATAACATCAGTAAGTTGCTTAGCAACGGGTGACGCCCTTCGGTATAAAATGAGATTTTTCGCGGGTGATTGTACTATTTTGTGTCCATTTCTTCATTGTGTGATGCACTTAGGCTTACGTGATCGATAATCATTTCTCTATAAAATAGTGTACGGTTTCTGTTAGTGAGTTTATAAGCTGTGTAGCTTACGAGACGTCACACTACTCATTTTATTTTCTTTTGTTTACCGAAATTTGAATAATCACAGCCTTCAATATAAGATCTACAGTATTAATTTATCTTAATGTTGAGTAAAATAACAATTTCGTAAGCGCGGTTGGAATTTGATTGTGGGTGACGCCCTTCCAACGTTGAAACAGGTCACAATAAAGTTCTAATTGACCCGAAAGGTAATCAAAGTTTACTGTTTAAACTCGTGGGATGTAATTCATATATATTAACATAATAATACTTCATTTATTATATAAAGCGTTAGAATTTAATGTCAAGTAGAATTTTTGTATGTAATAAAATATTCTATGATTACTTGTAAGTATAGAAATTGCAAAATGAGAACGTCTGTAATAGGACATGTAGTAATATGTGATTGTTTCAAAGTACAGTAATATAGGCTATGTTTTAATATTTATTTATGAACTTTGGAGTAATTGTACACATCTATGTAACCATTTATGGATCTGTATGATTTCAGTTATGAATAATAGTTTGAAAGTATATTATTCAATTATAATTAATGGTTAAAACAATTTATAGATTCTAATATTTAATTAAATGCATAAATTATTATGTTAGATTTTTAATAATTGATATAAATATAATTTCAAATTTAATATCAAAAATTTTAATGATGTATGTGATTAAATCATGTAGGAAGTAAATCCCATCTTATATGAAATATATTTTAGATCAATTAAATTTTTAAACATTAGGAGTCACAATCACATTGGTGACAGATTCATTTTATTTTTGTTTTGTTGATGTAACATTTGTAATTAGTAGTTTATATTGGATTAAGTGAATAAATGTAGTCTAATGTTGTAATCTACTTTTTAAAATTTATTAAATTATCATATTTTAATACATTTTTGTTTCAGGATTAATTTGTATTTGCAGTTATTCTTAAGCAAGGATGTTAAATGTACAGGTATATACAGATTTATATATGAAAAATACCACAACCATAATTGAAATTTGGTATACTTTTCAAGTTTATTTTATTATAAATAAATAAAATTTAATATTTAAAAAAATTAAATTGAACATAAAATACTCACTATAGATTTTAATTTTAATGACAGAAAGAAAACTATCAACAAAACATAAATATAATCTATTCTATTCATCATAAAGTTAATTTAATTATTAACTGAATTATTAGCTGAACTTAATTACTATAACTGACTTAATAATTAACTGAAGATGGCTCGACCAAAAACATTTTTAAAATAAAGAGTTCATGTTTTGTAACATTATGATTAGTATTTGTTTCATTAACTTGCATAATGTATATATTCAATTGCAAAGTTATGTTTAAATTTTAATAATATTTATAGTAGTAGTGTTAATTTTGTATATTTAGTATCAATTTTAATAGTATATAACTCCCAAAAGCTGGAACAGTTCAACAAACACACCCAGTTTCATTTACCTACAATTTCAAGCACTGATGTTCAATAAACATTAGAAAAATGAAAGAAAACAAATGGTTTTGGCTTTAGTGGCCCTCCTCCAGTTACAAAAAATTTTTATCACTTTCAAATGAGCTTGTATCTTCATTTCTTTTATTTTTCTAACATTTATTAAACATCAGTACTGAAAGTAGTATGTAAAAGCATCTGGGTGTGTTTGAATTTTTATAGTTTGATCTCTGTAAAAAATACAATATTATTCAAAAACTTTTATCACTTAAATGCTATATTTTTATACAGAGAACTGCATTGATTATCTATAGCAAATTATCTTAGTCATAGCAAAAGAACCTTGCTATCAATTAATTAAAAGTCTACCTCTTAATCAGTTCTTTTAAAAAAGTTTTTCATCAAAAAGACCTCTTTTTGTTCTCAATAAATAAATAATTTGAGATATATTTGAATTAATAACATTTATTTTAAATTTAATGATGACTCATGAGACCACTTCATAGTACATAAATCTTGTCAGACACTCCCACACAAATCTGTTGAAAGTGTTTTTACTTTTAAATTCAAAGTTTTTTGTAATTACAGTATTTAAATTGAAATTCTTTACTGTCCTTTTCTTTGATGTGCGAGTTTGTTTTAAAATTTGGCATTACTTTAAAATAAAGTGTACTAATGGCATTTTTTATTCAGATAGTTTTGTAAGTTTCTATTTTATTTCCTTCATTCATATTGCTTTACATCACTTAAGACCAAGTACAGAAACATGGTTAGAATTGTAAGCTATAACTTTGACCATTGGACTAATGTCTGTGCTACCTTAATTTTTCCATTTAAATAAATAATTGTTCATTATTTATAGTTGTTTACTACATAAAATCCATTAGTTGATCTAAAACAGACATGTTTAAAACATAAGTAATCACTACTTCAAAAACTGGTTGCATAATAAAACTGCACCCAAATACACCCAAAACCAACAAAGAATTAAATACATTTAATATGCTTAATAATGAAAACGCTATATTAAGTCTACACTTTATTAAACTATAATAGTAGTTATAGAATGTTGAACTCAGACACAATTTAATATAATTAAAATAAAGTTAATTGTGGATAATTTCTTACTAACATAAAAGATACAATGAATTTCAGATTTTTTGGAACATATTTGATATCTGTTTTGTATAAAAATTTATAAGGGCATCATCTTTCTCCCATGAAATAGCATCTTTTAGACCTCATTATTTTTTTGAATTTTAAAATATATTAAAATTTGGCATTTTGTTTTCATAATTTTAATGTTTACTCTGTAATTGTTTTTGTTTTTTTTTAATTCTTACTACAACCTGAAGATACAAATGTTTTTTTAAATTATGTAGTACTCATTTTTACATAATTTACCATATAGAATAATAATAGGAAATTTTAAAAAATATTGAATATTCTCAATATATTTTTATTTATTAATGTATAAATATTGTAATACCTGTTTCCAACTTCAAGGCTTTTTTTACTAAACTAAATCAAAATCTCATTTAATCAGTTATTTAACTTATAATCATGAAAATGGTTCTTTTACTAACTAACAGCCTTTAAGCACACAATGAACAATATTATATAAATATTAATATTATAATATTAAATAAATTTATTTAAAAGGAAGTATTTTTGCCTAATTTACATCAACTTACATCATCAGTTATTTAGATTGGTTGAGAAAATGGAACATTGCACATGCAGTTTAGGCAGAAGTACTACAATACTTGTCTTTAAAAGAAAGTATTAGTTATGAAAACACAATTTTTTCAACACCTACAGATAAGGTTTAATTTGATGTATTCAGTCTTTAAGAACAGTCTTCTTATCTTGGAAATTTACTTTTTTATAATTGTAATTACCATTTGTCATTTTAGCAAAATAATAAAGATTGTTTCATTACAGAAGTAGTCTGAAGTTTACCTTGTCCTTTTTCCACAGATTAGTGGGTCAACTTATGTAAGATCTATTTCAAGAAAATTATTCATTTGCCATAATATTACTAGTCAGTAAATGTGAACAAAACAAATTCAGAAATTGAATGACATTCTTTAGAAGTATTTACATTCCTTCATAATTTAACTTACAATTTTCATTATGTACATGGATCCAAATTAGGATAAATAAGAAAATATATTTGTGCTTTGATATAACACTATGAACAGCACATCCCATTTCTTTTTGTACCTAGGTGTTGGAAAAAATTATATCAAATATAATTATTTAAGTTGTACAGTACATTAGTAGTGGTGGTGAGTTTTATTTATATTATTAAGTTACATTTCTGCTTAATTAAGACAATTGATCTTATATTTATTAATTAAAGAATAAATTGCTATCATGTGTTTAAATTTGTTCTTTTTAAATTCCTTTCATGTTTCTATTTGTTTTAACAATCCTAATTTAAACTAATTATTCATTATAATTTCAAATTTTGAATTAATGATCTTTATATATTAAAGCTGAAAATTGCTATAATGAAGATGAAAATGTTCTTTAATAAACATAAATTGCATTAATTGATCAGTCCTGTATGTTTAATATATGTATATAAAGTTTTTTCTGTATTTATTTTATTTATATTTTTTGTATTTATTAATATAATAATTTTTAATGAATAGTATTTTGTTTTTTAACTGGAAAAGTTTGTTTTAGTATTTAAAAATTAAGTATATTTATACAATTTCAACACTAAATCACATGCCAGCTGGGTGAAGCATAATAACAATATATTTAATGATCTTTCACAAACATGATAATGACATCAATGTTTTTTCAGTGTATTTTTAATACAAAAATTTAAACTTAAAAGTTTATAATTTATTAATTAACTTTCTTTTAATTTAGCTTTATTTTTAAAAACAGTTCAATGGCAGAATGTTTGAACTTGTTCAGATCTATGTGTCTCCATCACTAAACTATTATATTATAAAAATGCTAATATATTAATTTAAGGAGTTCTTGAATACTTCAAGATTAAATTTTTTTCAAGACATTTTGCTTCATCAGATCACAACCAGCATAATTCAAATAAAGTTTGATTTAAAAACATTATAAATATAAAAATTTAATCCTTTTTTCTGAATTTTAATGTTAAACATTTTTTAAAAATAAATTTAATCAAATTTTAGATTTCTATTATGTTTTTAAAGTTACATTTATAAAATTCTTATAGACTACATTTCTTAATATTTATTTTTTTTATGAAATTTTAAAATAGGTACATTTGAACAGCTAATATAAATTGTAATTTAGACACTTTATGTACTGTATTATTTATTTTATATCTGTGTTTATAAAATCTCTAATGTCCTGCCTGTTTCTATTCATGGTATATTTTTATATTATAAAAATTAATGTTTATACAAAGTTAAATGTGTATTATATACAAATGTTTTATTGTATTAAGAAAAAATCTTGTTACAGGGGGATTACAATAAAAGTTACATACAAAAAAAGTTAGTACATTTTCATACTTTATCAAATATCTGTTATCATAATAAAAAACCCAAAGTTCATAACATATAAATTTCTCAATTCACAACATCTTGTTTTAACATTTTTAAAATATAAACAAAAAAATTTTGAATATTATACATTTTATTTAAAGTAATTTCATTTAAGCTAGATCTAAAATTTTCTTCGTGTTTTAAATTAAAAATCTCTTTTATTTTATATTTATATTGCGCTTCTAGGATCTTTGGACATTCGGTAAAAATATGGTAAATATTAAAGATTTCGGATTTACACCAATAACATTTTTTGGAAAAATCAATATAATAATTGTCTATCAGTAAAGATTTATAATTAAGTCGAATCTGTATCAACGTTCTTTTAATATTTAAATTGATATTTGTCATAATAATATTCGATTTTGATGGAAAATATAATATATTCTTATACCAATAGTGGTATGTTGAGTTTAAAATAGCATCTTGGTCCTTGACAATAGATTGAGATAAGGCCGATTCCATCATTAAAGTATAAGCATATTTGCAATTATCTTCTGATGNAAAAAAAAAAAAAAAAAAAAAAAAAACAGTTTCCACAAATATTTTTGAACAAAGGGACTTATGTGAGATGGTGATAAGACAACTAAAATGCAAGATCCTCCCTCGCCACCTCCCCAACATCATTTTATATAGGAGATAATGGTACATAGATGACATAATCATTCTATGAAGGACAACTCAGACATCTCAGCCTTTGTTGACTCTGTTAACAACAACCCATATGGCTTGACCCTGGAAATCGATCAAGTGCACACTAAAGAGGTCCATTTCCTTGACATTAACATTAGAATTGAAGGGTCCAAGGTGTACCATAAACCAGGATCGAAATCCTTATACATACCTGTGGGGTCTTGTTACTCACATCAGTATAAAATTGCAGCCTATAATCCCTTAATTAGGAGAGCGCACACTCACTCGTCCACTCAACAAGCTCTCCACGCCAAACTGAAATATACTCATTAAATAGCCAATGACTATGGGTATCCCAAATTCACCTGTAAATTAATCAACAGATTTCACCTCTCCCAAGATGCACTCCAAGTCCACTCCCATGACAAAGACTGACCTGATTATGAAGAAAGGATCCCAGTCACTTACAACCCATATCTCAAATCACTATATACCGAGATAGCTAAGAAGTGCCACATTCGCATTGCATACAGAAGATGTCTAACTGTATTTGACATCAATAAAAATAAAAACCATTTATCTATCCAGCAAAATTCTTCAATAACTTAAAAACGTTTTCAAACGCATTAAGCGTTTATCCTCAGTTAATTCTATAAATTCGAAATATGAAATTCGAAAAATTACGCAACGGGAATTCCAATTAACGGTTATGTAAAAAAATAAAAAATAAAAATAAAAATGTAACGTGTTACAAACGAAAGTGCTATATATAAATTTTCGTGTACTTAATAAACAATAATGATAATAACAAATAAACAAATAAATAAAATATCTATCATCGATCATCCTAAGCCTGATTAAGCCTTTTATATAGATTATGCCAATTCGTCGCAAAAAGATTTCCAAGCGGACGAAAGCCCGTCGGCATCTCTATAGTTGATACACTGTGCTGTCTTCTGTGCCCTGTGGATTTCCAGCTTTTCGAGATGTTTTATCGCGTGTTTAGATGTAGTGGCTTTTATTATAGAGGCCTGGTCCCAGAAAACAGTAATGCCTTGTTGTTTAGCATAAGTGGCAAGGATCGTGCTGTCAATTGTTTTGTTCACTGAAAGCTTATGTTCATGGATTCTTTTTTTCAAATTCCTCAATGTTGCGCCTATATATACTAAGTTAGAGTTGAACCTGCTGTCTCTTAGCGGTATCGAGTATATTCCTGTTAAGGAGTTGCTTTCATAATCCCCCTTGTCATTCCTTAACATTTTGTATATAGTGGGATTACGCCGATAAACTATCTGTAAGTTCTTACTTTTGGTAATCTTCTTAATAATCGGTTTAAGGAAGGGTATATAATCGAGGACCATTTTTTCTTTTTGGTGGTTTTGCTTTTGCCTCCTTGCAAGATTATTATCTTTCTTAATGAGAGCCTCTATTCTTCTTCTCCCGTAGCCATGCTGCATGGCAGTTCTTCGTATATATTGTATCTCCTTAACAGTATCGCAAACATTTGTGCAATGGGTGTGCGCTCTCCTTATCCAAGATCGAAATACCGCCATTTTAATATGCTCCGGATCCACTGAATTCTTAGGAATAATGATGGGTATAGATGTCGGTTTACGATAAATATTGGTTCGGATTTCCCCTTTCATGCATGTTATCGTCAGATCTAAGAAATTAACGCTACTGCTCCCTTGTTGCTCCAATTCCAAGGTTAAACCATACGGGTTACTGTTTATCCGATCTACAAAATGCTTGATGTTGCGATTATCCTTCCACAATATAAATACATCATCAACATATCTCGCATATATCAATATATCTTGTTGTAAGGAAGGGATGATACTGTTTTCTAGATTACGAAGCACTAATTCGCATAGGACCGACGACATGGGGCTACCCATCGGTACTCCCCGCCCTTGTAGATAAGTATTATTTTCGAATTCAAAAAAAGATGTGTGACAAATCAAGTCTGCCAATTCCAAAATCTGCTTGTGGTATTTGGTAGCGTTAATAACATTAGCGAATAGAAAATCCCTCAGAGCACAAAAGCATGGAGGCAGTTTGATTGATGGGTATAACGCCTTATAATCTAACACTGTCATCCATTCCTCATTCATGAGAGCAACATTTTCCAGTTTCCGGATCAAGTCCACCGAGTTTTTTATCGAAAAAGGCGAAACTTGCATTTTTCCTTGTATAAATTTAACAAGTTGTTTTTCTATTCTGAAAGTTGGAGCATTACATTTTTCTACCACAGGCCGTAACTGCGATCCAGGTTTGTGTGTTTTTCCGAAGGCAAAAATTCTTGGTGTCCTAGGCGCTTGTAAAGTAGCAGACCTCATACCCAGATAATTGGCCAAAGGAGTTAGGGTAAATTTTCTCACTCTTTGCTGTAAGGATTCCAGGTAATTACTCGGGGCAGGAAGACATTCGGTGCTGTCGATGTAGTCATGCAGTTTTTGTCTATACGAACTCCGTTTGATGAGTACAACACCTTTTGATTTATCCGCCTTTATGAGAACAATGTCGTTTTTTTGGAGCCATTCTTTCGTTTCTTTAATGTGCCTTTGGAAAAGTAAAGCAGTTTTATTAGAATATCTCTCCTTCTCGGCATATAATCTTGTTTTCCATCTGCAATAATCTTGCGCAGTTGAATTCATATCCTTTATGAGCGTCTCAACGTTCGTTATTAGGCTTTCTGGACGCAACGGTGGTATCGGTGCAAAGGAAGGGCCGTATTCCAAGGCGTTTATCAAGCATTGGGGAGGAACGATGTTGTCCCAAGCTGTTAAAAATGCTTCTTTTTTCACCCGTGGTTTAACATTCTGGCACCTAAACAGCCATTTTAGCTTTTTAATGTATGTGCATTTCATTGTATGTATGTGCATTCAATGTATGTGCATTGGTTTTATTCTCCAGTAAGCAAGTATACTATTATGTATTTGACATTCTTCATAACAGAAAGGACGTTCTCAACCGGGACAGACTTCCCGGAGTGTACAGCATCCCAATTAAGTATCACAGATGCGATAGAGAACTCATCTACATCAGCTCTATGAAGTGCTCCTTGGGGGTTAGAATGAAAGATCATATTGCTGTTGAGGACCACCATTGCTCTTGATGTTTTTGCCAGTGATTCAGACAGAGCCAAAATTTAACCAGGCAAGAGTCATCCTCACCTCACCACACACAGTACAACTAAAGTGGTTGGAGGCCATTTATATCTGCAGATCTAGCCTCAACAACATTAGTATCAACCACAAAGAGGAATTAACTCTGTTCATAGCATGGCAAGTGCTAGTGGACAAAGACCTATAAATCTACCAGCTAGAGTGCACATGCCCAGTGGGATGTCATCAAGAAACACATATTCGAATTTCAAATCAGGTTCTTATTTAATTGCATTCTATTAGAAATTCACCTTCACCTGAAGAAGAACTGTTCATGATTCAAAAACATTTGTTGAACTGTTTTTTTCATTTTTTTGTTGTTATTTGAGTTTCACATGGGCTTTGAAGTATGTAAATTTCACTCTGGTGTTGGTAAGTGTTGATTTGCAATAATTATAAACTTCAGTTGAATTTACAGATGATTGAAAACATTTGTTCAATTAAAATAATTTTCATAAAGCCAACCACTGCCGTATGCCATTGGGTTATATAATGGCTATAATAATAATACATTACCAAACAATTTGACTCTAGAGGGAAGCGTTAGGTGCCATCTTGTAATAAATTCGATAATAATTTTAATTAAATAATTTATTAAATTTATTATGAGATGGCACCTAACTCCTCCCTCTAGGGTCAAATTGTTTGGTAATCTATTATTAATATAGTCATTATATAGCTCAATACAAACTTTTTCATTCTAGTTTTGATTTATACATATCAAATTTATAGAATTTGGCATTAAACTGCATAAGCTTAAAATATTTTTGAAATTAACACTACTAGATTTCTATAAATTTTTTTTTTTTTGGTGTTATATTTTATATTTGAAAGTATAATTAGTATGACATAATTGAAGGTTCTAATGAATTTTTATAAGCAAAAGAAGTTAATAAGTGAACTCAATTATTATTTAGTTCACTTAACAAATATAATTTCATTATTGAAATAATGCAAGTGGCACAGTTTACATTGTTCTTAGAATATAATATGAATGAAACTTTATTGTTATTATGATTTAAACATATCTAAGATCAAAGAAAAGCAAAAGACTAATTTAAAATTGATTACATTTTAAAAGAATCTAATGTTATAAAAGCGTTATAAATAAGTTTTTGAGACAATATAAATTATTTAAATTACAATATTTAGAAATACTGTATTTGGATAACTTCCTTTTGATCAATTACATTAATAACATGAGTGACTCAGAATGATTGATTATAGCAATTTATTTGATTTTGTATACTCTTTCATTGTATCTGTAATAACATATTTTTGTAATATAATATATAATAATAATAAATAAAAGCTAATGCCTGTTAATCAAAAGAATTTGTACAATACATTATATATATATATATATATATACACAAACACACAATTTATAAATTTTTATAATAAAGCAAACATCAATGTACAAACAACAAATGAATATAACATACCAGTATGAGTTTTCTGATGAGTCTTGAGATTCCCAGCAGTGCTGTAAG